GGCTGGATTACTTATTCCTCCCCCCAGGCTGCCAGCAAGCCTTCCTGAACTCGCTGGGGCTCCGCAGCGCCCTCTATTGTCAGAGCACTCTTACCACGTTCCGGCCTGGGTACAAGGCCAGGATTCCCTTATCCTCCAGCGCTGGTTGCCACTGGGGCAGCTGTGCCTGCTGCCCTCTCAGGAGAGCCAGAGTGAGCGCGGACAGTGCAAGAACAACGTCAGATCATAATAGTGGGCTGGGGGTCATCGAGTTGGCCGGGGAGGAACCCAGAATGACTTGGCTTCAAGACCCGCTGGGCAAGCTCTCTATTGCTCTACCCCGTGTGGTTCCCAGCTCTAGAAGTTGTCGGCCTCAGGGCTGTAGTCCATCTTTTACCGCAGGAACAGCTAACCTAGTAGGGAGGTAGGCAGAGGGCGGCTCCCACACAGGTTCCATGCTCAGGGGTTTCCCTCACCACAGAGGAACCCAGTCCAGCATTGCTGACCAAGATATACCTTTTCAAATGCAAAGTATTCTTTACTTATAAAAAAGAAAGATGGGTTGCTATGGTGTCCAGGCTGGAATGCAGTGGCTATTCATAGGTGTGATCATAGCTCCTGCAGCCTCCAACTCCTGGCCTCAGGCAATTCTCCTGCCTCAGCCTCAAGTTGCTGGGACTACAAGCACATGCCACTTACCCAGCTCTGAAGAAATTCTTCAGATGTCTCGCGTATTGTTTCTTACATAATCATTCGACAGTTTTTGTTGTTGTTGTTGTTGTTGTTGGAGTCTCAGTCACCCAGGCTGGAGTGCAGTGGCACGCTCACAGCCACTGCAGCCTTGATCTGCTGGGCTCAGGTAGGTGATCCTTCAACCTCAGCCCTCCAAGTAGCTGGAGCTACAGGTATGTGCCACCACACCCGGCTAATTTTTTGACTTATTGTAGAGACGAGGTCTCACCAACTTGCCCAGCCTGGTCTTGAATGCATAAACTCAGGCAATCCTCTCACTTCGGCCTCCCAGAGTGCTGGGATTATAGGCATGTGCCACCATGTCCAGCCCAACAGGTTTGATATTTCCATTCAAAACAGACTTTCAAAATCAAATTTGGAAGAATCTTGAAAATAGGAGCCAAGGACACTTTAGCAGCATAGCTCTACATAAATGTGATTTCCTGAGGGTTTACCACAAAAGAAAATTTGGACCTCTCAATACACAAGTAGGCATGGGTATAAAGTACAGGTGAAGTCAAAATGTGCTGAGAGCTGGGGTAGGGTAGACAGGGCCCTGGCTGAGGGGAGTCAGTGGGTTTCTCAACACCTCAAGTCGTCCACTTGAGGGTCCTCCAAAGTTCATCAGGAGGACCACAGAGACAGGACAGAAAAAGGATCTAAGAAAACCAGACATAGCTGGGCTCAGTGGCTCAGCCTGTAATCCCGCGCCTTTGGGAGGCTGAGGTGAGTGGATTGCCTGAGCCCACGGGTTTGAGACCCACCTGGGCAACTTGGCGAGACCTCATCTCTACAATAAATCAAAAATCAGCCGGGCGTGGTG